ATGATAAAGAATATAAAGACGAAAGAAGCTTTGTGGGAATTTCTCTTGTGGGGGGGGGAGGGGGAAAAGGGGGGGGGGGCGGGTAGATGGTCCCTGAAGTACACTTCTCCCCGGACTCAAATCAGCCCTCAGTTGAAGCATACATTTTTAGTCCTTACTTGCTTTGCTCAGCCTAGATTTCTTCTGGACGTCTTAAGATGTCCCCGTGTTAATTTATTTTCAACGGAAAAGCATTTCTCCACATGTGCCCCCATTTTTGTTTCTGTTTTGCTGAAAATACCCAGATTGTGACCCGAGGAAGCTAGTGTTGACCTAGGAGGCGCTCTGCAAAACGGAATGGCCAAAGCAGCGGGTGGAGCGGGTGGGTCAGCTGCCTGCCCCCCTTGCCGCCCCGTGGCGAGCTGTGGTGAGAGCGCTTGTCGCCTTGGCAAGGGAGGTCGTAGGACACCGCCAAGCCTGCCTCCTGGCTGAATCGTTTGCGAGAGGCGTGCGGTTTTCCTGGGGCGCTCGCTGGGCGCCGAATGCTGTTCCAAGCCTAGCTTTTAATCACTGAACTTCTGAGTTGAGATCTCATTCCATTCTTTATCTAGACATAACCTCCTTTCTTTTATGCAAGGGTACTCTGAATTAATAGGTTTCTGATACAAATTATTGAGAATCTGTAGCGAGCACTGCTGAACTGTTCTCAGGAAGCTGTAGTTACTACCTAAACAGATGCCACACAGACATATTTTGAGGAGGGGGGGTGGATGGGGGAACAGGGCCAACAGGAAGCCCTCAGCAGCCACCCAAAATAAGGGTTCTTCTGTTGTCCAGACAAGAGTTAATTCCAGGGGGTCCCTGATATTGGTGCCTGCCGTTTCAATATGGAGTTTGAATGTATTTGTGTACATTACAGCTGGTTTCGATTTTGCACTGTAAGAAGTCTTTAAAGTATAATTAAAGTTTTTATTATTTATTTGATCTCTTTGTGGAAGGATTTTGTTTTGGCTGATGTGTCGAAGCGACGGAGCTCAGTGCCCGATAGAACTGGAACGCGTTGCCCTCGGCCGGGGGTCCCCACCCTGGGACCACCTGAGAAGGCGAGGCTCGCGGAAGGACGTCAGGAGTGGGGCCAACCGGCGTTCAGAAGAATTGACCAACCCTGATCTTAAGAAAACATCTTTTCGCTGTTTGTGACAAACATGGAACGGAAACCAGAGAGGCGGTTCCAAGACCACAGACGCAAATAATATGAAAAAGTAGATTTTGTTGCAGATACAATCTTTCTCCTCTTCATCTGGCGGAGGAGAGCCTTTTTCTTATCAGCAAGGGAAATCTCAGGCTGGACGGGTCTCAGCCCCCAAATGTTTGAGTAAAATCTTACCGGTTAAACGCTTCTCTCTCGCAGCCACTGTTTACGAGACACAGTGACCCGTCTTGCACCTTCGGTGGCGGCCGTTCGGTGTCTGGGCCGCCGTCTTCCACTCGCTTTGCCACTTAGCAGTTTCCCCTCCCACTGATGGAATTTAGGTTGACTTCCAACTGGGGTTTTAATCCTAAACAACACAGATGTACTGGTTAAAGTTTTCGGTCTGTAAATCCGTTTGTTTTAGGCCATTTTCCTGCATCTCTCATTTTGGGCCTGGCAGGCTGGGAAGCCCTTTTGAAATTACGCTGAGACCCAGCAGTCATCCAGACCCAGCCTGGCGACCTCCGTGTCTTGCACTACCACTTCCATCATCCGGAGAGCAAAATGTTGGGGAGCAGCTACTCACAGCCTTTTCAGCCCTTGCTTTCATACCCGTAGCAGGCAGAGCGTGTCCTGATAGCTGCTAAGGGAATCTTTCGACTTTTGCGGGGTGTGTTTGAGGTAAATCTCTATTCCAGGTCAGAGATTCTCCGATGGTACCTGGACCCCCAACACAATGAATGACGTTATGCAGGCATCACTTTAATAAAACGAATGAGAGGTCCCGAGTGTGCCAGGGCACTGCGTGCAACTTCTAGCTGCTGAGTGTGTGGGCATCATTGTTTGCATGAAACAGAGCAAGGATGCTTGAGGCAAAAGGGCCTGGGTGACACTGGCCCAAACTGGCCAGAACCGTGCCCTTGTTGCTGAGCGTCTGTGACTTTAAAGGAAGGACTGGCACTGACAATGACAATGACTCGCCTGCCCCTTCCGCTACCTCGGGTCGCGTTTGGAGAGAGGGTCAAGCGCAGCCTTCCTCCAGCTTGGCACCGTTGAGCTGCGTGGACTTCAGTGCCCACCGCTCCCCAGCTGCCCAGGCTCTGCCTCCGCTTG